ACTAAAAATTAACTTTCGTTTTGAATAAAACATATCATCATTGGCAATGCTATTTCTACCCCTGTGGCGACAAACTAACCGCTGATTTATATGTCTGCGATACGCTACTTAACTTCCCCGCTACAGTTTCCGCCACGGTCTTCATCGTATATCAAATATATTTTGAATAGGTGTCGAAAAAATCTTATTTCTTAACTAAATATACTTGATGTGTTCGAACTTTTATGCTTTGAAATAAGGCGTTACACAGATTTCATATTTAGTAGTATTCCTCTATTATCTTGAACAAAACAGAGATGGAAACATTGATTATACAGAGATTTTGCCCTCAGGAACCAACGATAAGTAAATTTAAAAGTTGTATATTCTGCTGTTATCCCCTGTAATTAAAAACAATGTATGTAGTACGCATGTAAATGTAGATAAGACTTATACCATTGATATCGACAAATTTATACTACTATTATAAAACGGAAGAGTTTGTTTGTTTGAACGTGTTAATCTCAGGAACTACTGTTCCGATTTGAAAAATTCTTTTTTATTGGATAGTCCATGTATAGAGGAACGCTTTAGGCTTTGTAACATTACGCTACAACCAATAGAGGTGAAGCGTCAGTGAGTACTAAATTTGTTTTTTTTTTTAATATCGCGCCGACGGAGTCGCGGGCGACAGTTAGTATTGAATATCTATAAATAGGTTTTACAGGCTTTTTATCTACATTATTCATTTGTTCTCATGGAAGAATTACAGCTAGTAATTTACAACTTAATAGTTTAAGTTATCGTAAGTTCAGTCTATTAACTAAACCTATTTATAAGGATGTCATTACCCACGAAATAAAAACATTTAGGTTACCGACATCCCTTCATACGCTGTCTCTGGTCCTTTGGTTCCGTGCAATAAATCCTGACAATATTAATTACCCCATTAGGTAAAACGGCCAGTGTAAGATGAACTATAGATATAAACCATCATAACAAATATAAAGGTCTTTTGGGAGATTTTTTATCGTAAGATTAGTTTTTAAAGACTTACACTAATATTTATTTTTTCAATTTTGTACATAGCTACGATGCTAACCTTTTTAATTTGTTTGGTTGTTTATGTTATTTTTATTGGCACATCAACTTTATGAAAGTTCACATTTGGTTGGACGATATTTAATGGATTGTGTCGTCTCTCCGCCGCGCATTTAGGTAAAACGGAACGCGGCCGGAAGCCACGCCCCTTCCGTCGAACTGTCAACATCACAGCGCGAAATTATGTTTGCCATATTGGGGAAAAATAATTCACATTTCTTTTCTTACACAAGTAATACCATTTGTTGGCATCTGCAAAATATTGTATATTATGTTAGAAAATACAATCATAACCTCAAAAAAAGTATTCTACATAATCAAAATTGTATCTAAGTTTTAAATTGCCTAAACAATTGGATAAAATAACACAAGCAAAAACACTATAAAATATACATTTCAAAAATAAAGTATCAAATTGAACTCGTCAAGCAATTTGTAGACTATTATCGAATAAATATTAAAAACGTAATTACATGAGTTCGATGTCAAATGATGGGACAAATAATAACCGCTGAAGGAATGGAAACTATACGTCATTTTGTAAGACACTGTCTACATCTATTATCGATTTAGACTCCTTCATAGCTGTACGTAGATAATATATATGAAAATAGTTTTGCGTTTAACAAGACAAAATAATGGCAAACACGTTTATCCAAATGTTAGGCCCAATAAACCAACTATAAGGTTCAATTAGAAAGAGTTTAAAAACATAATAAGTAGTTCCTGTCAGTGTATATGTTACTAATTGAACGTTACAGTTCAATGTAAATGCGTACCGTGTTGACTATAGAAATGATAGAGCTGGCAAATTACAATTTTCACACATTTATGAAATAAAAACATGTTACTACGAAAGACTGCTGATAGTATTATTCATTCGTCAAAAACATATTGTTAAAATGTGATATCAGTATTTTGCTTTATCTGTGAAAGATAGATGGATCATATAACTAAGAAAAACCATCATGAGATTAGTTTGTGCTATATGTGATATAAGTACATGATGACAGTGTAAACAAATACGTATTTAAATTATAGTAGTTACTGTATATTGAATTATAAACACCTCTATACATTTCATAACTCTGTTAAACACACTCAAGGCAGATAATACGTATAATTTGTTAATACGTGGTTCCGTAGCGTGCTTAAGCATTGAATTTGGGGTTCCGTTGCCCACCCCTCGGCAAATACTCCAGCGTGTTTGTCACCCCATCATGAAACCGGCCGCCCTTAATGATACCTTAGTCATTTATTTTGGTAATGCAATCGATTCTTTGGTAATAAAAACGACAAATCGCTGTCTAAAACTAAAAGTGAGTTATTTCCATTGAATAATATATATTTTGACTTGCTAAATATTACTAGGATGACTACTAACGCCGATTAAGCGCGTAGCTTATTAGCGCATATTTTAGCAATATTTAATTTTAGTTTTCTCTTTACTGTAAACTCCGAAACAACTCAAAGCAAGAGAAAATAATACACAGAAAAATAAAAAAGACAACGTTTGAAAAAAGAATTAAAATAACTAACAGGCAGTTAACAGAAGAAGAATTCAAATTAGCATACCGCAAATGAAACACAGCGTTGGAAAACAATCAATTCACACGTCAGTGCTGGCTTTAAATCTAATTCGGTGCTAAATAACAATTAACAAAGTCATCAATGCCTAACGAGCGACGATGGCATACGCTTCCGTCGAGCCGCGCTGTCACTTTGACGTATCGATATGGGCGGGTTTTTGTGTTTGTAGTTTGTATGACAACATTATCGTTTAAAAAAATAAATTACATTTATTTAGATTCAAATATTCGGTGGCAAATCATCATCAGCTCACTATACGTCCCCACCGAGGGGCTCGGAGCATACCCTAAGTTAAGGGTGATTAGGCCATAGTCAACTTTCACACATATCTTTGAATTTCTTCTCAGATATGTACAGGTTGCATCACGATGTTTTCCTTCGCAGTAAAAGCGTCGGATAAATGTACATATGTAAATCGGAAATCGAAAAAACACATTGGTACATGGTGGGATTCGATCCCAGGACCTGCAGATTGCAAGTCAAGTGCTTGATCCCTGAGCCACCGACGCTCCGGTGGCTAATGTTAATATTAAAACAAAAAATCGCTAGCATTTCTAGCTGTGTCTAGCTTTTACATATATTTAGTATTAGGTGTCGCCATCGACTTTATATATTTATGTGTTCTTCTAGACTATGTTCTACATCTATGTCAAATTTCAACGAGATCCCAAGCGTTCTTCTAACAAATATCCATCCATCTAACTTTTCGTATTTATAATATGAGATAGGTAAAAGTTTAGCTTGGAGAAAAATTTTAACTAAAGCTGTAACCACGGTTTAACTGATTCGATCGTAGCAATAGTTTGTATCTTCTTTAATTTCTATAAAAAATAACTATTAGAATCACTTTGTCAAAATATTGTTTCTTGATGATTAGTGTTTTTCAACTGTGATTATATGTACAAGCTGTGGGCTTACACAAACTTATAAATAGACAATAAAAGAATAATACTCTTCCATTTGCCCCGCACGGCAGCCGTCGAACGGTGTTCATTTTTAGCTCTCGCAAAGGCGCGAATCCGTCATCACCGCATTTCGCGCCTCATTTCAGTTTTAGGGCGCAATTTTCGTTTCCACTTTCAAAGAGACACTAAAATGTTGCCAGAGCAATAAAGTAAAGTTAGTCGAGCGTAGTGTTGTCAGCTGCACATCTTCGTATACAAATTGGTTAATTGCTGCGTAGGCTATTTATACAAGCACTAAGCCTCTTTTGTGTAAATCATCTTGACGATATATAAACATTGTAAATGAACCAGTTAACAATTTAAGTGTTTATTTTATTCAGGACAATATTTTTTTAATATGTATAAGCGTATTCTTTTGTACTTATTTGGATTGCACACATATTCATGTTTATAAACACTCCATCTATTTATATCTTTAGCTATGATATAAACACAATTAAAAGCGGTGCTTTGTGAGGTGACACGAAGATTTCTAACATGTTATAATTTGTTAAATATAATTTGAAAATATATTTTTTCACGTATAGATTAGTAATATGAGATATTGTACATATTTTGTTGTACTCAAAATTTTTTAACGTCACCTGCGTTAAATGTAATGATTGTGGGACAGAATAGTGCTTTATTCGCTCAGGATTTATGTCGTATGATTTTGACTATGTCACAATTTTTATAGTAGGTATGCAGTTGTGGCGGTGCCAAGCGTTGACAGTTGTTTTACCTATATGTTTACGAAGGAGACAGATAGATGTAAATGTTAGAATAAAAAAATATATTTTTCGCCTAAAATGAATAAATGCACTTAGGTAGCCTTACCCTTGCTTTTCGTTCGATATACATTTTGTTTACCATTTGTTCTTCTACTCAATTTTACTTCTCTGGTTTGTCAATTTTCTTTTTATTTATTTTAATATTGTAACGTTTGTTTGATACAATAATTATTTGAAAGAAGTTTATCGATAAGTGATCACTAAATGATATGAAATATCGTTTTTGGGCATATTATCATGTAGGATACACATTTGAAGTAGAATAACGTACCATGGTCTCCTTAAAAAAATATACGAGTTTTATATTTCTCGACTACTGTCGACATCTTGTGACGGATAGTAAAAACGCAAAGTTTAATATTATCATTCACTGAGTAATCTTACAAGGTCACATGTAGGTAACCAAAGACAAGAAGCGTTTGATAATAGAATTTATTTTGGTCTTGTCAAAGATTTTATCCGTTTGTTCGTAGTTTTTCAATTATTAATATAATTTATCATTGAAAGTAGTAAATAAATGAAAAATTAAATGTGTGTTATTCTTACAGGACCAAATACACCAACGGGGTATACTGAAAATTCATTTTTCGAATAAAAGTGACATTACATGAAATGGAATCAAAAAATGGCAAACACGTCAGTATTGTCAAAATTTGTTGTGTCATGTCTTCATTGTATTATTTTTGTTCTATATCAACATTTGTGAAATTGTGTAAAATATAATACAAATCTAAAAAATAGTTTATAACTGTGCCAGTAAACAATAAAAAAATAGTATTAACTATGCATTGGTACGGGGGAAGTATTGCCGAAGCGGTTGCATTATCAAAACAACGAAATGCAATTTTCGTCGTTTTTGTTGAAGGTACGGTTAGATTTTATGTAAAATCTTAAAATAATCGACGTTGATTCTTTATTTAATGAAATCAATTAAATTTGAAGTTGATCAAAATTGTAACATCTTTAAATCTAATTAGGTTGTTTAAATTATACATATTCGTCGTACTCATGGACTCTAATGATGCAATTACACAATTCTAATACCTCGGTAATTTTACTTATTAACATTACGATATAATTCACTACCTTAGTTTTGCCGAAAGGTAAGCTCCGCCCAATTCGTACAGAAACTATTTGATAAAATATACAAATACGACACTTTATTTTAGTTACATAGTATAGTATAAAGTACTGAGTGATTCTTAAAAAATTTAGTGACAACAAAAATAGAGTTTTATAAACTGCAATATCCTTTGTTCCTATCTATCCTTGTCTAACAAAGATTATAAAAACCAATATAGCATATATCTTATTATACGAAAATATATCTTTCCCATTGTAATAGGTTACAGATTTGTTCAATACATAATGTTTACTTACTTACTCCTCTGGTGCAGTAATCCAAAATAGATCTTGGCTTCCGACACAAGAGATTGCCAAAGTCGCCTGTTTAATTATACATGTTTATTGTTATTTACTGTTGTTGTATTTTTAGATTTAACTTGAAAAAATTAGTGTGTTAGTTTTTTTAAATCTTGACTTATTCTAATGGACAAACATTTTGATCTATAAGGTGACAATGAACAGTCAGCAGAAATGTCTTCAACAATTGACAATGTAGCCGTTGAGAAGAGACTGTCGAATTCTGAAAACTTCCTTGCCATCAAGTTGAAGAGTGGATCAATAAATTACACACATTTTGCACAAATTTGTATCCTTTTTATTTTATTGCAAAATGATTTTATAGATATATTGAAACTTAATAGCTTTATGTTATATTATGTTTGGCATGCATGCAGCAATATATCCTGGTAGATAAATACCCTGACTAAAAAAACAGATCAGTTTGTGCCTGTTCCTTCGCTTTTCTTCATCAATAGAAATGGAACACCATTGGAGGTGGTCTGCGCAGGGGTTGAGGCCCAAAACCTTGCCACAAGGATAGATAGAATAATAGAAGAACATAGTAAGTATAAAACAAAATATGATCTTTACTTGTTGAACATCTAGCATACTTATTAATGTAATGAAAAAATGTAAAATACACCACATTCTTGCCTCCACCTAGACCCGGTCTAGATCACATACTAGCGACGCCCATGGCTGCTAGTTATACTTTAAATGTTCCAATTTTGAAATGTTGCAAACCATATTGATATAAAATTTCTTGTCTCTCTAACAGACAAAGATAAGAAGGGAAATGTCCAACCGTCTACATCTGGACAGAGTCTGAAACAACAGACAGCTAATTTGATACAAGCAGAGGCGGGTAATGCTGGAAATGAGTCGGAAGCTGCACCAACGCCGCAACCAACGCGACCATCCTCTACCGCTAGTTATGAGGCAAAAATAGCAACACCATCAACTTCAGCATCATCAATTGATGCTGAACCAGGTATGTACAAGCAATTACACATATTCTTATATACTTTTAGACATTAATAGTTACAATCCTTTAGAGTGAATGGTGCACTTTCATTACCAAGTCAAGTGTCAGTTTGATTAGTGCATTCACTTGGAGATCTCCGGACCGACCAAGACGCTGACAGGGTACCTTTGTGTAGATTCCCCCCCCCCTGATACCAAATAAAAAAAAGATAAGAAAAGAAATAAGGGGATTGTTATCATCATCATCAGCTCTCTATACATACCCACCGAGGGGCTCGGAGCCTACCCTAAGTTAAGGGTGACTAGGCCATAGTCAACCACGCTAGCCAAGTGCAGGTTGGTTGACTTCACACATATCTTTGAATTTCTTCTCGGATATGTGCAGGTTGCATCACGATGTTTTCCTTCACCGTAAGAACGTCGGATTAATGTACATATGTAAATCGAAAAACACATTGGTACATGGCGGGATTCGAACCCAAGACCTGCAGATTACAAGTCAAGTGCTGAAACCACTGAGCCACCGATGCTCCATATTGATCCTCCGACGCTCCGGATTGTTATACAATGTTTAATATTAGCATATCTATTGAAGCTTTGTTTCTTTTTACAAAATTTAATTTTATTATAGTAGCAATGCATACATTGAACTCAAATCCATTACTCAAGAGTGTAGACAGATTTTCATTTCCAATACATCTCTATTTTTACATCCATACATTGTCTTTGCCAGAGACTTCATCAGGTCCAGCGGCAAAGATCCCCAAGACTGAGTTCCATGAGGTGACCCGTTCAGGTCAGGAGTATGAGGTGGTGTGTGATGGTGACATCTGCGTTAGGAAACCTAAGGAAAAACTAGAGGAGCCCGGACCTAGCACAAAAGATACAACTGCTAACAAACCTGTAAGTATATTTTTTAAAATTCTCTTGAGTGAGGCAAGGTTTTTCATTGAATGGTTGTAGCATTGTGTTGAGTACTGCATACTTTGAAATGTAATTAAAATGTTTTTGGTTTTTCATTTAAATATTTACAATTGTGGTGTTTTTTTACTTTTTACTATGTTAAAATGTACTTTAGCTGTCAAGCAGTTTGAATAATTAGAAAGAGTAAGGTTTTGTTCAATTTATATTCACACAGTCATGGAAATATTGTATGCATAGATTTATTAGCCTACAAAAAACTACTATTAGGTTATTCTATGCATTATGTTGAGACTTTAATATACAACAGGAAACTCCCGCCCCAACCCCAGTGAGTCCTGCCAGTTCTGACGAGAAAGTGGAGCGAGCCAAGGAGCTTATAGAGGCTGTGAAGAAGGAGAAATTGGAAAAAGAGAAAGAGGTAGTTATGTGACATATTTATAATAATATTCATGCATTTAACCCATATAAGGTAGTTAGAGATCTTCTCTGACTATTCTGGCACTTGTCTGCTGCTGTATGTGATTTCCTGTATTAGGATGCTATCTAATAAGAGGCTAATGTTGTATATATATTTATGTTTCTATGTACATTTCTTTGTGATCCAGGCGTCAAACTAACTGCTTGTTAGTTTAATAATTAACGATTATTGTTTTTTTTTTATACAAAGGAGAGGCAAACAAGCAGCGGGAACACCGAGGTGATTATTGATGAACATAGCTTTTGATAATTAAGTTATAAGTGTTAATTAAGTTATATGACATTATAGTTGGAGAAGCAGAAAGAGTTGGAACGTCGCGCACTCGGCCAGGGCGTGGCTGAGCTGAAGAAATGGCAGGCAGATCAAGAACTGAAACAATTGCAGGTACTTTGACACTGATATAAGAGTAAAAGTGATGTTTTTTTTCTGAATATAGTTTTAACCTTAACAAATGAATACTTGATGAATGTTTAGGAGGAGCGTAAACGTGAGAAGCTGGAGAACAATCTAGCTCGACAGCGTATTCTGGAGCAGATAGCACAGGATCGTGCGGAGAGGCGCGCTCGCGACCAGCCGTCCCCGCAGGCCCCGCAGCCGCCGCACACCTCGCAGCCCCCGCCCCCGACCTCTAGTTAGTGCCTTTTAAACTAATAAAAGCAATATATCACATTTTACGAATTGCTAACAACTTTATGACAGGCGCGTCAATGCAATTTCGATTTTTTTTATTTTAACCATTCAGTCAGATAGTTTCAAGTTACATCGATTTACATCGATTCGAGGCCGCGTGTAGGTTAACGTTTTTAGTTTTTATCGTTAATCTTTTATATTAATTAGATAATCCTTTAAATATGGAACAATAACATTTGTGAACTTTCGTCAATTTACTACCAGGTCATTGTGTAATTTAATTTATCTATAAGCCGTAGGCGATGGCGGGTCACGTGCGCGCGTGCAGTTCAAGATGGCGGACGGCAACGCGCACACAGCGCACTTTGATGTCGACACTACGCTGCTCGAGCTCCGGCGATATGTCGCCACCAATTTACAAGTAATATGTTTTAGATAGTATCAATATAGTGTACTAGTTATACCATTTCATTTGATACCCATATAAAGGCGATGATAAAAATATTTAATTTTTTTATCCAACATAATTTGTATTAGCGGCCTTTATACAGAGGCAAATTATCTTGGATTTTTTTTTATTTTTAAAATAATCACAGTAAAGTTCATAGTCTTAATTGTGTTAAGACTTCCTTTTTAGATTTTTTAATGATTTTTTTGCATTCATTAGTTGCGTCAGTCGGAGTTCTCCCTGTGGACGGCGTTCCCACGTCAGGAATTGACAGAGGAGGGGTCCACGCTGCGTCAGCTGCGGCTCGCGCCCTCCGCCGCGCTGCTCGTGCTGCCTCGTCGCGTGCCAGCCACCATCGCCACGCCTTCTACATTCTCTAACATTATCTGTAAGTGACTTTAGTCCCCTTATAAGAAAAGTTTTGGAAATGAAATGGATTTTACGGAGGAGGACTTGAAAGGGGAAATATCATCTCTCTGTGCGTCCACTCCTCCGTCGATTAAAGTTAGGGAACGCAGTTGCAATTGCGGATGTCTATAGGCAGCTATTGCTTCACTATTTCGATGAATACAGGAGGCCAATTGCTCGTTCGCCAACATATTATATGAAAAAGATGTGGGAGATCTGTAAATTTGACAATTGTTTTTTTTTTTAAGGAAAATAAAACTCGTCATTGTTTATTCATAACTTAATTGAATCTATTATTTTACCCAAAGAATTGTGTTATTTCATGTTAAGGTAGTCTTCTTACATATAGTTTTACTAGTTAAGGAGTTAAGGCAACATTGAATACTGTGAATTTAGTGTGTTTAAATAAAGATTTTTAATATTAATTTTATGGATTATTCAATAATTTTCTTCCTTGAAATTAATATTTAGTAGGAGTAACTTGTTATGTAGATGGAATATATCTCACTCATATTTTAAGATTTCCAATTACATTAATAATTAGAAATATGATAATTACAATAATATCTGTCACTTTTTAATTATGTAACATATATTAAATTGACTGTATGTATATAATAAGAAAATTTATCATTTGTACAGCATTCTTGACGCAACTGTTCACATCGCTGATACTGGAGCCATCGCAGCAGTTGTACGCGTGGCTGCGCGCCCGCATCGCCCCCGCCACCCCGCCGCCCGCACGCGCCCGCGCCCGCGCCTCCCCCGCACCCAGCCCCGCCGCGCCCGCACCCCCGCAACCCCCGCACGTGCCCAGCGTTCGTCGCCGCGGCAACATACACCGTCTCGCCGGCGACGCCAACAACGATGACGACAACAACACTTGGAATGGAAACTCCACGCAGCAGATGTAACTGCATAATTTATTCATATTTATTATATTTGTAAGGTGTTTCGGGACCCTGCTATTTTATTTCATTCCAAATCACTGCAAAATAATATGAATATGACGTCATAGTTCGTCAAAGCACACAAAATAGTAGCATCAACAGCGATCGAATCTTAGCACTATGACGTCATAGCTTGTACATTCAGGCACACAATTTATTAAGCACATTGTCTTAGTGTAGATTCGAAATCAGCTACTAAGTATCATGTTATTGTGTACGCATGTTTTCCTGTCCTTCATGTTTTATTATTTTTATTCCCTCACAAAAACACATTAAACTTGTTATTCCGCTAATGCTTTTAATGTAAAATTATATGTATAAATGTCTATTTATTATAAATTATTCTAATTAGAAATATATCAAATTTTATGTGTATGCATTTACGCAAACAATTATATTTCCTTTTAAAAACTTCTTAATCAAAAATTTTGCTTAATGAAATGTACAGTACTAGATATTTAAATTGGCACGTAATTCAGAACAGTACACTTGTTTCTGACGTGCCAACTCTGTTGGGTACTTTTCTTAATATCAATGTAAAATTATAATTATAAAGAATGCTTTACAAGTTCCTTTGCTAATAATAAAAAAAAGTATATAATCATATAAAAATAATAACGATATGAATAATTATTGTATCACTTTTAAAAGTGACGTAGACATTAAAATCTAGTCTAATTTCTAGCCATTTTTAAATGTGCTCTTCGGAAACTTTGATGTCGTCATAAATCACTTATATTAATCAATGACGTAGTGATATCACATTGAAATAAATAGCACCTGTTTCTAGAATAGTTATAAACTATTTGTAACTTTCACGTTGTTTATTCGTGAATAAATGTAAAATAAATATGTTATATGTAATTGTTTTGTTTTATTAACCTATTTTATTATTACACTAGCTGTCGCCCGTGACTCCGTACGCGCCGTATTAAAAAAAAAACATAATGAGTATCCCATCTGTTCTAGAGTATGTTCTATATGTATGCCAAATTTCATCGAGATCCTTTCAGCCGTTCTAGAGTTACATTCAAACATCCATCCATCTAAACATTAGCATTTATAATATTAATAAGATTAACAGTCGCCCGCGACTTCGTCCGCCAAGAATATCTATTGTTTCAGCAGCGTAAAATTCTTAAGGACGTTAGATAAAAATTAAGTTATTTCTAAATTGATTTATCTAACAGTAAGATGCAGCGGTTAGTTTTACTTTCCGTTAACTAGCTCCATTGTTCTCTGACGTAATTTGCGTCGCGTCGCAGCTGCGATTTAAATTGGACGAGTTGACAAACGCGCGTTAACCTTTAATCAGTTGCGTGTGTACATTTAAACGTGGATTTACACTGCCGAAAACTATAGACAAAAAATAATCATCATTCATACGCTTAAAAAAAAATTAGAGAACAAAAGTCCTTAGAAATAGAAATGCATTTGAAATTTAAATGAACGATTTTTGTTTTCAAAACAATACAAATAACTTTTCTACAATTCTTAGCATGAACATCTTGTAGAATCGATTTGCATACATATTGTGTTTTGTAAGTGGAGACTTTCCTAATTTTCCTATTTTTGAAAAGCCAAATAGTTACAAAGAAGTCATTTTAAACATCTTTACGTGAATTAGCTTAAAGCGCGCGTAAACGGAACACGAATATCAATGAAAAGCGAAAGTTATTGCCTGAATTGAACACAGGTCTGAGTACGAGAGAAAGAAGAAATGGCACGGCAGCCATTTACCGCCATCTTCACGTCAGTTTTGTGGTAACGTTCGAAGAGAGATGACGTACGTTCACATTTAAAAAATTGTGATTAATATTTAAAAGTATAGTGAAATAAATAAAATGATGGATTTAAAAGAAATAATAAAGTGGTTTATACCTTGTTTTCACATATTGCTAATTAATAAAACAGGACGAACAAATATTTATTTGACTTTCGTGTGTTTGTTTTTAATTTCCAACACGCGACCCGGTTACGGGGCAAAAGTTAATAGCATTAGTGACACACAAATTAGTTTTAATAACATAAATAAAAATGATAATAATTTAATTGTTAATAGTAACATTTCTACAGCAAACCAAAGTGAATATTTTCCTAACAAAAATGTGGAGCAGCGTGCAATTACATCAGATAATTCTATTGGTATGTCATTTTTCCTATTGCTTTATCCTTTTTCTATTGGTCAAAGGATGTTATTTACTGAAGACTATCTTACTAATATTATGAATGCAAAAGTTTAAATGTTTCCAAGATATAGAAGGTAAATAGGTATATCCTGTCCGGAATAACTGATCTCGCCGAAATTCGCGTAGACGGATTCGTGGGCGACAGCTAGTTATTCAATAAATAAACAATTATTTGTTCGAAATCCGAATGCGTTAACAGTTTAAAAAAAGGTAGGACAAGAAAAGTTTGGTGCGGTGTGAAGTCGTTGAGTGTCTTGATTCTTAAATCTTAAAGACTTATTGACTAATTTGACTAGTAACAACACGTACAACTAGACTATACTTACTATAACTTTTTGATATATGGTGTCGGGTTTGAATGCCGCCATTAGACTATGTTCGTAAATCGCATTTTTGCCAAAACCCAAGAATAACAAAAATCTATAATACTAATATTTTAATATGTTTAAAAAGTTATAGATGCGATATTCCAATATTAAGTATTTTTATTAACTTTAGAAAGCATAAAAAGCAATTAACATTCTCGTAAGTTCATTTTCTAAATAACTTACGTGATTTTCAAACGTAATTGTTATGGCACGTTTATTAACGTTATCACTTGTACCAATCATATTACTTTCTCTTGGCTGTAATCAGCAACATAAAATTCTGGGCTCCATATATTTCAATTTGAATTGTAACTAAAGCAAATATCTATAACATTGTAGGTACGTTCCATCAGTTTCCTAAACACTTCCGAATGTAAAAAATAAAGGTAAATTTAAATGTATTTTTTAGAACTCTCGAAAAATTTCTAACGGATTATCCAACTATTATCATGAACAATGAGGGATAAAAATTTCTTGAGTTTTTGCATAAATTTAATGAATAGTATAGTTGAAAATGTAAGATAATTTTACAAATTTTAAACTAAAGTTAATTTTGACGTGAAAATATGTTCATATTAATCGTAGTACTCTTGAAATTATTATGCAGAAATTGTTTGTTTCTTAAAATGTTAGCGAAATAATTCCTGATTTTCCTGCTATAGTCATTTCTAAAATAAAATACCGAGGTCATGTAGAATATCAGCTGTTACAGAAAGGTAATTAGGAATGCAAACAACGAAACAATTACCGGAAAATGAGGAGAAATCGATCCGAATCGAAGTTAGTATCTTACTTCGCGATAGTTAAGTTTGATTTTTACTTTATTTCTTATTTATTTTTATACTGTATAAACAATGTTTAGTTTTGTAAATATGATATTACTGTCATACGGGAATACATACAATATTTTTTATCTGTTATATAGATATTGTACAGATATAAGGGTTCAGTCTTCGTCAGTAAACTGCTCTGACTGTCATTAAATTTGAAAATTCTCAGTCTCACGTCTTGTAAATTTTTAATCATAGAATGAAAAACAATATGCATTGTCACTGTCAAATAACATTTACAGCAATTTCCTTTGAAATGTTTAGCTTCTAAGTCAGACTTTTTTGTGTTATTTTCATAACTATTGTCTTAAAAAGAACTAAGATGTTTATCACTTCTAGAATTTAAATAATACAATTTGGAAGTAAAGAAATCGAGGACGCACGCGGTCTGCGGTTTTCGCAACATTTCCCGTGTCCGGTGTACAAATTGCGCATAACTTACGAGATATTGTTTAATTTACTTGTCCGCTTCAAGTGCGTTATTGCCATGTTTTTTTTTAATTTAAATGGCTAAATAAAATAAAAATACCGACACACTCTATGATAATCATTATTAATAGTTAACTTTAATAAATTAGCTGACGAATGTTAATAGATTTACCTTCAGTTTCTAAATCAAATATCCCCGTTTAAATCATATTGTTATCTCAGTTTTGTCAAATAATCTGACAGGGATGACGATATGATTTATACAGAGATTTTGGTCTCAGAAAATAACGGTTGACCGTTACAAAATGATTTATGGTCTTGTAAGTAACGGAAGGAATAGCGGTAATTCATATTAGACACATAATTCATGTTTCTATCTTGTGATAAAAGGTCTTGTTTCAGTCATCTCTATCTTGGGACGGTTTTATGCAATAAATAAGCAACAAAGATTGGTTCGATTTTCAAAAAATAATTTAATATCATCGTAACTTAATCTTAACCTATGACTAATGAAATTCAATCTATATAAAAATATAGAAATATAGAAAGTAAAAAGCACATGATATAGTTATATACTCTCTAATCAATCAAAATTGATACGTTAGAATTTATTTAAACTAATATCTATCTTACTAATATTATAAATGTAAATGGTTAGATGTATGGATTGGATGTTTGTTCGAAGTATTTCAAGAACGGCTGCATGGATGTCACTGAAATTTGGCATTAGTGTAGAACATAGCCTAGAAGAACACATAGCCTACTAATTATGATTTTTAAATTCGATTCAAAATTAAAGCTAGTTTTATATGTTTTAAATACTACGTATATTCTATGAAGTCGCAGCGTTCATAAAAAATCTTTAACCGCGGGTTTCAGAGACCAAAATCCCCGTTTAAAATATATGGTTATCTCTGTGCTGTCAACGATAATGACATGGATGATATGTATATGGAGATTTTGGTCTCAGGAGCCAACGGTAAGTGTAATGTTCATTTCTCATACAATGTTTACATGCAGTCATGATACAATGATATGAGGAGTATAAGCCTCAGTAATGTCAGCGAATAACTTGTTTGTTTCTCGCAAAAACTTCGGAAGTGGGTCTGTTCCGATGCTGGTTGTTCGTCACACATTAGGATGCGATTTCACAACGCATCGAGGTTAACTAGTTTCGTGTTTTCATTTTTAGCTATCATAGATATAATAAAAAAAAATTAACTCGTACGCGCCCTGTATATTTGATAACTTAATCGTGTGCATACAAAACATCTTTATAATATAAAAAAAACAATGTAAGTTGAAGGTAGACCACATGACGTAGGTCAAGGAGAATAAATATTATATTATATCACTAGCTGTCGCCAGCGGCGCTGCGCGCGGGATTAATGTAATTAACTACGAGACATTTTTTTCTTACAGACTATATGCCACATCTATGCCAAACTTTAGCAAGATATATGCAGCCATTCTGTAGATACGTTCTAAAAAACATCCATTCATTCAAACATTCGCATTTATAATATTAGTAAGATAAAATTTTCAAGGTTGATCAAAGTTTGATCATGCAATACAAAAGTTTATGGACTGGGTTTAGAATCAAAAAGTACCACTCTGCAATCCTAGATTGTGCGTAATTGTTAGGCGGAACTGTCTGTCCATAAAAGTTTTCATCCACTCATTCTGTTTGGAAAATATAGATAAAAATATAATATATAAATTATTGTATACATATAGACTATGGTTACAGTAAAAAAAAATAAAGTTGTATTAATAGCAGGGCGCACGTTCGGGCGGCCGTTCAAGAAAATGGCAGCCGCTTTGATACCGCTGGTGTTCCAGATGGGCGCGGCGGCGACCTGGGCCGTGGTAGCCGCGCTTGTAGGCATCAAGACACTCGGCGTCACACTAATCATTTTGAAGCTTCTGCTCATCGCCGGTGCTGTAAAGGTATACTAAGTTGACATCATCTAGATTTTTATTTAATGTTTGTTACCGACAGATACGGAACCTTTTTACACGTTTTTATTCATAATTATTATATTTTT